AAGTATAATACAAAACCCCTCCCAACATCTGAAAAGAAAGATTGACTCTTTGCCTGCACAGTTTCAATAAAGAAAATTTTTGAAAATTAGAAAACGGATACTATGAAAGAGATTATGTAAATGTCACGCTGCCATTTGAAATTTGTCATCTGTATAATACTATATATCATCATATTTATTGATAACAACGATCTTTCTTACAAGGGCTCCAGATCGTTAAGAGAAAAGATTTTGTACACAATAAATAAATTATATATGCGCCTGAAAAAGTGTTCAAAACAACACCAATATTAAAAAAAAGGACACAATAGAAATAAGTATCTATGAATATTTCGGATAACAGATCTCCTTCATCAGTATAATGATGATGATGTAAAATGAATCATATCAATCTTCTAGTATTCTGATTTAACTTAAACAATCTTATATATACAAACTAAAAACCCGAAGACACGCTTGTATCATTCTAAAATTTCAAAAAGAATACTAATGTGCGATATGAGCTGGTACATTTCACAGGTGACGAAAGTTAATTTATTACAACAGAGACTGCGTAGATATACATCCCCAATGAATGGACTTCTTTCTAATATTGGTGTTGTTCTGCACACTTTATATGCGTATGTATTCTCAAAACGATCCAGCGCTTTCGTAAGAAATATCTGGTATATGGAACAAGACAGACGTAGTTATTAGTGTAGGTCAGTCATCTATGGAAATTAAGAAGAAGATGCTGTCTTCAAAATGTTTTTAAAAAATTTTAAAAAAATGCTTGAACCCGGTACCGCTGACTATTTTTGCTTTTGACTTGAAATAATTGACTGTGAATAAAGTAAAGATGATGTTAAAACATTTTTGTTGAAAATATGTAATTGTGTGTAGATTCTTGCAAAAGTCAATTAAAAGCACTGTGGGATTTTATTGTGAATAAAAAAAAATGTAATTTATAAACCAGCTATTATTTTAATATATCATTTAAGTCCTGACTATTTTATGTATCGCTTGAAAGTGTGCATCATTTTTGGTTTGTGTTAAAAATACGAAGTTCTATTCTATTGCAATTCCCAGTTTCTGCAATATGAATTTAGCGCTTAATTTGCTTTATAATCTGAATCTTCATATTTTTTTCCTGGATGCCTTCAATTATTCGAAGACTCATTATTTTAGCTGTCTGTGATAACCATACATAATCAATCTTCAAATGTAAGTCCGTAGAAAATTAAGAGATACCTGTATTGTATTTTAAGCTCCGACGGCATCAATTGGTGATTTGATGGTCGCAAATTAAGTTTACTGGCGACGCGTTAGCGGAGCCAGTAAACGGGTATTTGCGACCATCAAATCACCAATTGATGCCGTCGGAGCTTAAAATACAATATTGTTATCTCCATTCTAATGAAATTGACAGAAAACAACGTCAAATCATGCATTTATAATCTGGCATACGTCGTCTGCGAATGCGAGTTAGTTTTCATAACATCAATTGTGAATTGATGCCATGAAAATTTGTGACGTTATCCAATCAAAATGAACGTTACAAACGATGTTGCATTAGACTGTTGAATAGCAGGACAGTGTAAGTGTTACAGTCTGTAAAAAAAGAGCGGTAAAAACATAAAATGATATGTTAAATTAATTAATTCACCAATCGAATACATGGCTAAATTATATGGCCTTGGAAAGAGATAATCGTGAATTTTCAGAATAATGATGCAGTAAGCATAAGAAATGGTCGCTATTTTGTATAATGAGGGTCAAAGGTTAACAATTATATATTTCCGAATAGTATCTTAACTTTAAATCTCATGTTTATTTCCGAAATTTTAATCATATTGATAAGTCAGAGAACATGATTTGATTCAGCATTTATGAATCTTGTAGAAGATATCAAATCAAATATAAAAAAGAATAACGTTTTTATACATTAAAATTGCGGTTTTTATTAAATATGATCTTTTGTTCATTTATGACTTCATTTTGTTTCCATACAAGGATAACCTTGAACTTTGATTATAATAATTCACATAACATCAAAGTCTTTAAACGACTTGTTATAATATTAACAACTTAAACGGGAAGTAAAGAAGGACTAACCCATAATAAAACCACTGGCATTTTAGTCAGTATTTGACATTTTCATTTCAGATTAAAGGTATCTATGACATATTTGTTTTCGTATAAACGTTTTAGAATATATTAATATCCTATCCAGGTTACAATATCATATGAACCGGAGATAGCTTGTGTGTGCTAACTAACATAAATTATTAATGTATAAATATCAGTTGGAAAAATTGACAATAACTGAATGTCAAGTATATTTTCAAAGTCATTAGAACGTAAAAGACGTAAATAGTTCAGATAATCAAGTATCATCATCATCATCAGTATCTGTCATGTGTGTATTGATATTATGACAAAGTTCTGATGCTTGATATTGACAAAGTTCATTACAAGACAAATGCTGTTCAAAATGCACAACCCGAATTACACACTGATTTTCCTTTGCAAGTCAGTGCACACCAAATTTTGAAGGAATTCGAATGACATTTGACCTTCAAACAAGACCGGTTCACGACTAACCTTTCCTTCTTTCCAACCAACTAAATCTGTAAAACTATCAATGTAGACATTTCTTGTTTACAAAAACAACATGTTACGGTTATGTCGATAAAGGCACAAAGTCATGAAATGTTTCGCACATTCAAATAATGACATAACGACACAGTTGATCAGACAGACATCACTATGGCAAAAAGAAACAGACAATAAACAGTTAATAGTACACTGCACAGATGACTAAATATTGAGCACTACGATTCCTTCTAAAAATCTGAGAGTAAACGCTGCTGAACCGGAAGAGTGAAATGTTTACGCTCCTTATTGAATACTATAAGTTTGAAGGCCCTTAACCATATAATAGTTTGTAAAGTGTATAAACTATTTTGTTTAACCATTAAACTTTACCAGCCTGATTAAAATAGCTTTTTCAGAACAAAGGATAGACGAGTTCATGACCGATTGAATTCAAACATCAGAATACTAAAGACATAAGACATAAGAAAAGATAACATTAAACAACCCAGAATACAAAGCAACAGCAACACCATCCGAACTTGGGATGACGTAAGTAGCTCCGGAATGGTAAGCAGTTCCTTATTTTTAGTGGCACAATCCGTGTTGCTAATTTCGGATCAAAGATTTGAAAAAAAATTGTTCTAATTTAGAATATTCAATACGAAGAAAAAAGAAGATAATGTAGTTACAACCAAACCAAACATACCTGTTGTCGTCCACATTCGATAAAAATATGGCCGTTAAATCTTATGTCTTGTGTAGAGAGAATGTCACACTATATGCTCGTTAAAGAACCATGATGGCAACTAATTGAGGTTTCCGTATGTGGTATGTTGCACTGTAAAAATGTCTGCCCCCTTTCATGTCATATGTGGGTATTCTAAGTCAGGAGCTTGTTAGTCAGTAGTTGTCATTTGCTACTGTCTATTATATTTATTTTTCATTTGTTGTTATTTCATTATTCAAGACATTGCATTTTTCGTTATAAAATTTCACATTTTGTTATGTCGGTGCCTTATATAGCTGACTATACGGTATGGGTTATGCTTGTTGTTGAAGATCTCACGATGACATACAGTTGATTAAATCCACGTCATTGGGCTATTTTTGGATAGTATTCTCATTGACAATTATACCACATCTCCATTTTTATAACGATCTTTTTTTTTTTGTTATTTGTGTTGATAGGTGATTGATTGATTAATTGGTGTTTAACTCCACTTTCAGTACTATTGTGCTAATTCGTGTTGGACAGTTTTTATTGGGGGAGGAAGCCGGAGACAATCGATTATTTTTGTTGACAAGCAGCTGTCTCATTAACGTATACATGAAATATAATATGTATTATTATCCATTAGTCTTTTTTATATTTATCTTAGTTGAGACTTGGGGTTGTTGTTCCTATAGCTGTAGTTATACTATTAATATGTTCAAAACTGGTTAGATTAGTTGTATAACGGGTTCTTGTTTTTGAATTTCAAATATGGGTTATATATGCACGTGAATTGCATTGATGGTTTAAAAGGTTGGGTTCCGTTTACTATATAAAGAATTTTTTGGGGGTATCAGTTCAATGAAGATGCTCACAGTAACTATGACAGTCAGTTAGTTCGCAGTTTATTGTCACATATTAATGTTTGGTTATTATTTTTAGTTTAATTTCAATTTACTTAGATGTATTGGACATTTTGCTGTATGAACAATTTGAATATGATTGTTATATTATGTATTGGATAATTGTGTTATTAATCATTGTTTGCTAGAAAAAAGAAGTACTGCGAACAATCAAATCTATACCAAGATTTTGTTTTATTTATTCAAAGGATTTAAATAAAGAAATACTTTGAATTTGGACGAGCATGGCGAAGGAGAAGTAACTAGTGTATACATTACCATTAACTGAGTGAATAAGCCTTATGTTGTGTTTTCATTTGGTGTATTACATGTACTCATCTACCTCACTCATTGACAAACAAAGTTAAGTGAACATATCCTTTCTTTGTCAATGTAATAACGGACTTTAACGTACCCCTGATAATTGTAAACTACAACTACTTCACGTAAAATGAGGGTCTCAATGGAATTTACAAAATAGAGAATAATGGAAAAAAAGTGAAAAGGGGCAAATAACAAAATAAAAAAGAAAACGAGGGTGCTAAATTACAAACAATAGAGAACATATAATGAACCATAATAAAGAACAAACACAAAATAGCTTAACAATAAGGAATACACAGATAAAGAACCCACTCCTCTTTTCCTCCATCCATACCCTCATATATTACATAACTAAGTGTATTTGTCTATAAACTAAATTGAAGTTATTGTCCCTATTTTCAAACTATATGTGTTCGTCGGACCGAAACCTATTTCGATTATTATTAAATACCATATTATATATATATATATATATAGAGGTACAACAAAACTAACATTAGCTGATTGAATTTCGTGAATGAAACGGTAAGATCAAATTATATTTTTTTTTAAATGGAAAATTATGAAGTTATATATTTTCTTCACCATGTTCACTAGTCTTGACTTTACACAAATCATAATACTATTTTTAAAAATTATAAATTAAAGTTGAAGTATATAGGTGACATTTAAAAACATCAAGACTTTATAGTGAACACAAATCCTTTGTTCAGTGGTTGTCGTTTGTCGGTGTGGTTCATATGTGTTTCTCGTTTCTCGTTTTTTTTATATACAATGATATAGATTCGACCGTTGGTTTTCCTGATTGAATTGTTTTACACTAGTCATTTCTGGGCCATTTATATATATCTTGCTGTTCTGTGTGAGCCAAGGCTCCGTGTTGAAGACTGTGCTTTGACCTATAATGGTTTACTTTTTACACATTGTAACTTGGATGGGGAGCTGTCTCATTGGCACTCATACCACATCTTCTCATTACAATATTTCAAATTTTCTGTAGATAGACGAGTGTCTGGATGGGGGTCCTTCATTTTTTACCTCTTTAATTTTTTAGGCCATTTTTTCTTGTCTTTATACTTTTTGCCTATTATTCTCTTTTCTTTATATTTTTGCTCCTCTTTATTGTCTATTCTTTATTATTTTAAGTCCATTTTCCTCTATTCTTTATATTTTTGGCCTATTATTCTCTATTCTGTAAACCCCCATCCACATCCTCGTAGACAGTGCTGTGGTTATCATACGGTCTTAATTTCTACAAAAACCAAATACAAATGACGAGCTCTGAATTTTCGTGCGGTTAAAAAAGTATTGACAATTATTTGATTTACAACCAACCGGAAATAGTGTTTATAGTGGTCTAGACGAAATTGATGGGTGCACGAATCCTTTGGAAAAAATACAACTCTTCAATCAACTATACGTATCCACGATAAGGTCTTCACAACATAAATTATATTACATTACACGAGCAGGACTTATATAGCTCGTGTGGTATTACTTAACATTTCAGAACACATATGTTTGCTTGGTCTACTTTTGTTGTTTTGTAAGGAGCGACAGTGTCTGTAATTTCGACAGTAAATCATAAAATATGTATCATACATTTACATATTTACCACCTTGTCGATACAACTACCATCTCGTTCATTTCGTCTCTAGTGTGGGAGGTCGTAGGTTCAATCCATGGTCGGGTCAAACCAAATAGTTGAAAATAGTATTTGTTGTTTCTCCAATTAAAACTATGAATTTAAGAACAAGAGATCAAAATGGCCGGTGCGGAGTCAGAACAATGTGTTAGGATAGGAAAATATGTATTTTTGCAGACTGCAACCATGTGAACTAGCACGTTAAGAATCCGGCTAAGAATATCGGTCTAGTACAAAACAGGGTTCGGTTTCAAATCACATTCAATATACGTCTACGTCCTGATATGAAGTTATATTTATTGCTGGACGTTCATATAAACATACTGCACTTGGATGAAGATGTAAGGGTAGATTAACACACGAGGGAAAAAATTATCACCCAAGACGAAGTCGCGGGTGATAATTTTCATCGAGTGTGTTTTCAGATATTTTGCTATCTACGGGATTGCGATTTGAGTTATTTGATGGATATCGTTCATGATACATCTTTTCATTGAAGAACACAACTGAATGGATATATCAACAAATTATAGGCCAATATAACAAATATTGTAGTACATAATTCAATAATCTCAACGCAAAATTCTTTCGATACTGTAGGTCGCAAATGTATCTGATTAATTTATTCCGGAAACAAGTGCCATTTGTATGTAGATATAAGAAGATGTGGTATGAGTGCCAATGAGACAACTCTCCACCCAAGTCACAATTTATAAAAGTAAACCATTATAGGTCAAAGTACGGTCTTCAACACGGAGCCTTGGCTCACACCAAACAGCAAGCTATAAAGGGCCCTAAAAATTGCTAGTGTAAAACCATTCAAACGGGAAAACCAACGGTCTAATCTATATAAAAAACGAGAAACGAGAAACACTTATGAACCACATCAACAAACGACAACTATTGAACATTAGATTCCTGACTTAGGACAGGTGAAAACAATTGCAGCGGGTTTAAACATTTAAATGGTACCAAACCTTCACCCTTATCTGAAACAATAGTGTAACATCACAACATAGAAATACACACTATAAACTATCAGTTGAAATGGCTTAACTCAATCTAAAGGCATATTAACACCGGTGAAATACACTGAACAAATAAATTTGATCTATGATACAATGTAAATACAAAATAAATAAACTAAGGGAAGAATAATTAAAGTAACATGTTATACCGCTGTGAAATGTGCACTGATTCGTATAATATTTTTACTGTGTAACCTTTAATTTGTGTTTTAATGAAAAAATTTCAACATTCGTACAGACTATAGAAATAATTTTAAACACGATCTATTGATAAGGTATACCAGTGTTGGTTTCACTTCTATTTAAATGAATGATAAAACCTCATCATTCAAGTGCGTGTGTATTGTCTCTTTCGTTGTATAGATTGGTACATTTAAGTATTATAATGCACATGAGCATACCCTATTACTTTAATAGAACGATAAAACACTTGTTTTGCTGTCGATTTGATGAGTCAAGCCCTTTTCAACTTATTATTTTAGTCTGTTCTTCTGTTGAGCTGTTACACCATTGTCTAAGGTTAGTGGAGGGTTGGGCGCCCACAAAGATGTTTAACTTCGCCGTATTCTGTGTGCGCATTCACAAGTTAGGATCCTGTAATTCAGTGGTTATAGTTTGTTGCTAAATATATTATTTAGGTTTTTTCTTTACAGAAATTAGGCCGTTAGTCTGGGTTTTTGTCATTGTTGAAGGCCGTACGGTTACCTATTATAGTTGCTAACATTTACTTCATTTGGTCTCTGTTGGAAAATTTACTCATTGGCAATCATACCACATCTTCTTATTTTCATATATGTCTAAATGATAGCAACCTAACGACATAAAGTAAATATAGATTGCTGAAGTGACAAATGTCAACTTGGACCTGAAAAAATATAAAAAACAGCAATTTACTACCGTACTTCATGCAAATTGCTATGTAAAGTGAACCATTATGTCTTCTTTATTGAGAATGATGCGCAAGAATTTATGAACGTGTGAATGATTTTAACGAAAGGCAAAAACTACACTCTTATCAGAAGATATTATTTTTGTATACAAAAAGTTTTCTGATTTAAAATGAAGTTTGTTTCTTTTTGTTACTCAATAGAGAAATCAAATTTCCTGGATGCTTATGTCGTTATTCAATATCTTTAGTCATTAATGTAATCGGTATAATTTATTTAGTTCTTGATTATTAAAGGGGCACTAGCTATGAGATACATAAAAAATCTAAAGTATGATTTTGTTTTTGCTTAATCATTAATGAAAGTGAAATAGTGAAATAATAATTCGCTTTAAGCGGCCAGTATGGTTCAATTTTGTCGAGTTAAGCTAAGAAACATTGATGATGAATTATTCACTTGCAAGTGAATAATTCGACCTCATTGAATCCGTATTCATCTGAACTACAATTTAACCCCTTATCTAGAGACGGATAACGCATGCATTGTGCGTGTTCGGTTATTTAAAGGAAAAAAATGTCAACATTGAAAGTGAAACAAAGGTAAATGATTTGATTGACTGATTCGATCAAAAAAAAAAACATTCGTATACAGGTTAAAACGATGATTAACATATATTTTTAATCTATAATATGAAATTAAACAGATCTAGAAAAATCCAATTACACGAGTTCACTTTCTATATATATCTATATTTATGTTTATATCGCTATATATGACCATCGGAAGTCTTCGGAGGTCAACTCGATAGTTAATTAGATGGCGTCAGGACTTAAATACACACGAAACAAAGCTACAAATTATCGAGCCCATGCCCTGTAAATTATTTATTTTATACTTTTTATAAGAATGAATAATTTAATGAGAATTTGAGTCAAATCGGTGAACATGAATTTGACTGCTAGTGCCCCTTTAAATTGACTTGACGGCTATAATACAACTCCCATATTTATGCAACTGAGCATTTCTTTCCTGTCTTTTTTCAGGTTAGCTTATTCGTTGATATTATTGGTAAAGGCCTAAAAGAGGATGAAAATTAGAAATTCAGAAAGATGCATCTTTAAGTGGTTATACATTCTTATAACAGTTTCTGTGGTTTATGGAAGATACGCCAGTTGGAAAAGCTTTGCTATTTACACAAACGGTGTAATCTATACTGTAGATCCATTCGATGATGAGTGGGACTTACACCCTGAAGAGGCAATGGTTGTAAATGATCATACTGGTTATATCGAATATATTGGTGATAATGCTGGAGCATTACAATATCACACAGGTATTAATTGAATTGTAATGTAATTGCAATGTTCATCCTAAAGAAATGTCGAAGTTTCTATTACAGATATGCAGCGAAGCTTAAACATGTTTTTGACCAATGCATGTAAAGTACTAGTGTAGCTTATACACCCATTCAGTCAAAACTAATGACCAATAAACTGATTAGTACCAGGCTTCAAATTTTGTACGCCAGACGCGCGTTTTGTCTGCAAAAGACTCAGCAGTGGCGCTCGAATCATAAAAGTGAAAAAAAGCCAAAATGTACGAACAGCTAAGATAATCTATTCCCTGGGTAGAAAATCCTTAGTATTTCAAAAGATTCTAAATTTGTAAACATTTAATGTATTATAATTATGACCCAAGCTTTAATTAATAGCATGTATCGCTATTTTCTGAACATGTTCCTTTGACCTTTTGTTGTGATAACTTTTCAACGATCATTTATAATATTATGATTTTTTGTGAAAAGAGCCCCTAATTTTTTTTGTACTTCATTAGTTGCAATCAAGAATGTACTGATGTAAGCTCATACCGTAAATAGACGTCTTATAACATTCTTTAATCATGATAGCAAACCACCAAGCCATTAATGGTCAATTCAATGTTAGACAAATTAAAAAAATCTATATTCTATGCAGGGGTATTTTTATCCCAAGCATAGATTGCCCAACACGTGTTTCGCGTAACGTTTTGGAATTTTCGGATTCAAATGCTCTACAATTTCGTTTTTTTATTTGGTTTCCAAATGTTTTAATTCGAACGCCAGTGAGGAGTATGGTGTAGACGAAACGGGCGTCTGACGCACCAAATTATAAGCCTGGTATCTGTAATAAAAAAAAAGACAGACAGACAGCGGCTGGATGGACAGAAGAACAGACAGATCGACCGTCCGACCGACTAATTAATATAACCGACAGAAAGATAGACTGACAGATCGTATACAACCAATCAAACCGCGACAAAGCGATTAAGCGAACTAAACAAGCAACTTCCAACATTTGGGATTTATAAATAAACCGTCTTTGGAAACATGTTGTACCCATACATAATTAGGGCCTAGTTATGTTAGAAATTACCCTGTCATCTGGGGAGAGAGTTGTAGATGCATGTTAATTTCAAGAACTGCAATTGGTTCTACAGTTGTATCTGGTACAATTTTCCCAAAAGTCCTGTTCCTGTGCAAACATTCCATTGTTGTTAAAATGTTGATTATTCCTTTCAGTGGACCGAGTTCCTAAAGGTTGACTGGGGTAAATGAATTTGGTCATCATTGGATTTTCCCCGTCAAACCGTAAAATCCCTGCTGAGTTTATTTCCCGCGAGTTATCCCTGACGACATACTTAGCAGAAACTATTTATTGTATTAATTGTTAATTTGTTCTTCTCCTAAAAATGCATGACATATTTGCAACTTGTAGTTAATTTTTAAAGAATCATACTGAAATTGAATGATGAAAAAACATATTGAATATATGGAGTTTGTTTTAATCTGTGCCATGTGTAACAAGTGCAATGGCGAATATGTGAAAATTCAAGGATTGTGGGAAAGAAAACGGACTTTAAAAAAACAATTACCGTCTTTAAAGAGATAACAAGCTCTTTGTTTTATAACAATTCAAACTCTTCGTTGAATATAATCAAGACGTTATGGAGTATTTGGCAAAACCTTTCGGAATTTTTGACCTTAATGCTCTTCAACTTCGTACTTTATTTGACCTATTAACTTTTTTTATTCGAGCGTCTTTTGAAGGTTAAACGCGCGTCTGGCGTACACAATTTTAACCCTGGTATCTTTGATTAGTTTATTTCTATATGAATAGAAAATGTTCTAATACACTTGATACTATAGTTAATAAAAAATAAATAGAACAAATAGTGCTTTTTCCAGCGCATTATTCCTTCTGTATAAAATTTTGTCTTAAAAACTCTCAAAACAATGAAAGCGCTAGCCACACATATCTTATATATTATATATTACTGTACATTCCATTTTATAGTAATTTCGTAGAATTTGTTTAATAGTAAATCTTCAAATGTAAAAAAAGATTTTTTTTTAGAGTTTAGCTATGTGCATGATTTAAGAGGGAATACAGTGTTGCCTGGTTTTCATGATGTTCATATGCATCCTCTAGAAGCTATGACAGAGCTTGGCGGAGGATGTTCAGTTCCATCAAACACACCCCCAGAAAACATGTTGTATAATATTTCTCAATGTAAACCACGTAATGATGCCACTGCCTGGGTTCTAGGTCATGGTCATTCGATTGAATATATTTTGGAACATATCGATAATGGCGGAAGGCCTCCGAAAGAAATTATTGATGAAGTCATGGATACAAACCCTGTCATCATAATGGAAGAAACTTCTCATTCTGTATGGGTTAATTCCAAGGCCCTGAAATTGGCAGGTATTACTAAAGACACACCAAATAATCCTGGTGGTATTATAATGAAAGATGCAAATACTGGTGAACCGAATGGAATATTATTTGAAAACGCTGGAAATGAAATCATGGACTTAGCAATGAAATCCTTTAAAAACCTAGACGAAATGAACTATGATGCTTTACTTCTTGGTCTGGAGGAACTACGCATGAACGGAATTACATCTGTATGCGACGCAAGGACTTATTGGAAACGAAACCATCACGAAGCTTGGAAAATGGCATGTGATGACAAGGAATTAACCGTTCGAGCTGTTCTTGGACTCTGGGCGTATCCTCATATGAATGACGCAGAGCAAATCCAAAGGTTGAAAGAATTATACACCAATGGTTACAACAAAAATGAATGCTTTCTGAAAATTAATGAAATAAAGGTGTATTCAGATGGTTTGCTAGAAAGTACAACAGGCGCAATGTTGAAACCGTACGTTAAAAACCTTCATCTACCTGGTCTAGATGAAAACATTGGCATGAATTATTTTACACAGGAAAGGTTGCAAGTATATTTTGAACACTTGCAAGCTTTTGGATATGATAAAGGGTTTGACTTTCATATTCATGCTATAGGTGACCGTGGTGTAGAAGAGGTGTTAAATGCGATTGAAAGAACAAAAGTAAGTGGAACTCGCCACCGCATGACGCATTTAGAGATCGTGAACCAACGTGATATTCCGAGATTTCAGGCACTCGATGTAATTGCGGACTTCCAAGTTACCGGTACATATACTCTACCGAATAAGCTATACAGGATCGAAAACGTTGTCGGTGAAAGCAGAGCAAAAAATTTTATTCCAGTGAAAAGTGTTGAAGATACAGGCGCTGCTGTAACTTTAAGCAGCGACTGGGATGTTAGTAGTCTCAATCCGTTCATCAGTATTCAGCACGCAACACAGAGGGGTTCTCAGTCAATTTCTGTTAAATCAGCAATAGAAATGAGAACAATAAATGCCGCGTATGCCATGCGACAAGAAAACGAAGTTGGCTTCCTAAGTGCTGGTATGGCGGCCGATTTTGTTGTTATCGACAAGGACATTCTTAACATTCCAATTAATCAAATCAGTACAGCAAAAGTTTTGCTAACAGCGTTGCAAGGGGAAATAATCTATCAATTGGATAAGAAATAACTTATATTCAAGCAGAAAAGAGTGTACAGTTTTATTATTTATATGCTGCACGCATATCTCCTTCTCGCCCTTACTCACATTATAAAATACGAATTACAGATAACTGGATTTGATTGGTTATTTAACATTCTCCTTAATATTCTCAATTATTTTGTTCTACTTAAAACGATACCATACTGACTCCTTGACGTCCAACATCTTTACAAATAAAATAAAACAAACAACTAACATTTATATAAATTGAGTACAGGGGCGGATTCAGGCGGGGCGTGGCGGGCGTGCGCCCCCCCCCCCCCCCTCCCGAAATTTGCAAAGCATGGGTTGTCCTCAGCTTAATAAAGAATATTTCGATAATTTAACCTCAAAAAAATGTTCGTGCGAAAATTAAAGTTTGCGCCCCCTAACCTTAAATCCTGGTCCCTAGACTAGAATAAGATTTTATCCAAGTCAAATGTAAAAAAGGTCAAATGTTAACAATGCAGCGGAGAGTATTCACGTGTCGTCATATCGTATATATAGCAATTAAAATAACATTTTTTATTGTACATATGCTTTATTCTAATTGTTATTATATTCAGTCACACAATAGACTATTTTCATATTACCGACTTTTGACTCCTGAGTTTATATTGTTTCGACAGGTTACCTACTCTGTTGTAAGACATCCTGGTACTCCGTCAAGTAAGAGCAACGTAAAGAAGTAAAATTAAGTTTTCAACGGTATATTCAATAGTGAATATTTGTAGGAAACTGGTATATGTTATAGTATATAATTATTAAAAAAAAAAAAACTAAATAGTAAATTTCAACCGAAAAACTTTCGTACGCGTTCTGACCTGACATTTTCTTCCTCAATGCAGGTCATGCATTTTCATTTTCAGAGGTTGACAGGTATGGATATGGATGGACACCCCATATCCTTTCTTTTCTATTACTTGTAAACAAACTAAAAGTTTAAAATGATCTATCGCCCATTATCAAGTTAAAACGGACAATTTAATATGCTGTTGCTGTGTTTGCTTGAGTTCACTTTTCGTTTTTTGTCGGACCTTCTTTTTTCGAATCAACCTAGGAGTACTGTATTGTCTTCATGTTTTGTTTTTTTTTTCAATTGGAATTACATAATACAATGTCATTGAATTTTGTTTGCACAGTTTATTACATGTACTTATATCAACAATTGTATTGTTTTTGTATTCATTTATCAATGTTTTACTAAACCCTAAAAGGTTTGTTATCATTATATATATGTGCTCAGTATATTTGGAAAAATAAGTGGATCTTTGTAAGATATAATAGATTGATTGTTTTTAATACATAATTTTCGTTTGCTGTTTTTTTTTTTTTTTTTTTGCCTACCGCCCAGTGCATGCGAACATTTCATGAATGTTCAGGACGGTAACACATTAACACGTTTCATGAAAATTGAACATGTACAATATTCAAACAAATAACGACAGGTAAAAACCTACTAGGTTTTACAAAAGAGACCTGAAAGGTACCAAAGATATTCAAACTCATCAATCGAAAACAAACTGACAATACCATGGCAAAAGACAAAAGGCAAAAAAAAAAAAAAAACGAAAAACGACGAAAAGACAAACAACAGTACAAATAAACATCATAGTAAACTAAAGACTGAGCAACACGAACCCCCACCAAAAAACCGGGGTGATCTCAGGTGCCCCGGAAGGGTAAGCAGATTTTTCACTTTTTTCAATGCAGGAACGTACATGTACCTACCATATTTCTATCTCACTTATAAAAGTAAAACATCACCTATGAAAGTACAAATCGCAGACAAGTTACATAGAAAAAAGGAAAAAGAAAGAAAGAAATATTTTTTTAGAAACTGGATACTTAGTGGCTGTGCGTGCATTGTCAATATATAATACAGTGCATGAACATGTACAATGTGAAAGAATAAACCATCATTTAGGGAAAGATAACCTTAAGTAGTTTGATAATGTCCTATATATATACATGCATTCAGACTTACCATGTAATCGATGCCACTCATGTCAACGTATATTTGTTCCGCCTAGCAGATGTTACCCTGGGAACTTTGTTATAAATAATGCCATAACATATATTCCTGTTGGAACAATTATTTTATACCATTTATTCCGTTAGGAACAAATATTACAGTATTACATGATATTTTCCATTTGGAACTTATGTTATGAGGGAACTTCTATTGCATGACACTCAAAGTGAGTTATTAACCTGAAGAGATTCAAACTTTTGGCATTGAGTTTGTTTTTAGCAAAACAAATGTCGTGATTGAATAGTTGTCAGTCGTTCATAAAAGGTAGGCTCAAAATGTTTATAGTCAACCTTTTGGAAACTTTCACATGAACTTGGAGACATATGATTGTTCAGAACAAGGATGCATTGTCTGTAGTATAAATTAATTCAATACATAAACTTCAACTTGCGTTTATGTAAAAAGTTTTAATTGTTGTATACATGATTAAATGAAAGGCCGTTTTGACATTTAAAACATCACCTGAGTAGTATCAAATTACCGGTTCTGCCACAAATCTATTTTGAGGGAGAAATCAGCATGAAACTTTAAAAAAATGGAAGAAAAAATGGTAACACGCAAACGTATGATATGCGACAAAAATGATAAAAAAAAATTGGGTGGGTGGGGAATGATTAGCTTAAAGGGAAGCGTTAGTAAGGGTATCAAAACTATGGCATCAAGATTATTATCATCATCTGACAATATGAATATTGGAGATGAATTTCTTAGCGTAGAATTCTTGAACAAAAAGGTATGCAAACAGGAAAAGGAACATAAACATAAACAGAAACAAGAAACCCTAGCATGGAGAAACTTGCCCATTGGAGAATATTATAAAATCCTACATGTGAAAGAGCTTATCACTCAGTATGGAGAAGCCAAAATCCTTACAATGAAAAACCGTGAAGGGGAAACAGTCAAAGTGTGGGCTTGCAGGCGTATTATCGAGGAAACGAAAAGTCGAGTTGGGGCCTATGCGAAAGGCAATGGGAAACAATTGAGCAAAAAGACAGATCGAGAATACAATTCATGTGACCTCGTTTGGATGTAAGTATTTATCAGAAAAAAAAAGAATCGATATTTTTTAACTTCCGGTCTAGTTTGAACAACTGGACCAGAAATTAAAATCATACAGATGGAAGGGGGTTGTTATTAAGATGCATGCGGCGCAGTCAGATCAAAACCTTAACGAATATCACAAAATTGAAATAGCTAAAAAGGGAGTGTCAGTTAGGATATAAACACTATGAAATCACCATCATTTGAAAAAAGGGGTATCGAGGGAAAAGGGTTAAACACCTTAAAGAAATGAGTCAGTAGAGGTAATAAGAACATGACATCATTACAAAATATGAGCGCTGAGGAATTACCAAATGTCTGCGGGACCAAATTGAAAAGGAAAGATGGTTACTGTCAGAACAAATCAGGAGAAGATGGGATATGCTGGAGGCACAGAAGGCAGTTCAACAATAATGATGATGGGGTTATCAGTAATGGTAAACTACAGGTTAACAAAACCATCAAGGAATTGCGACAAATTGCCAGGGAAGGGAACTTGAAAGGGTATAGTAGATTGTCGAAAGTCAATCTGGTAAACCTCATTGAGGACAAAACAGACCAAAGATTTAAGCGTGAAGTGGTTTTTACCATGAAACAGTTGAAAGCACTTGCCAAAAGGCGGGAGATTCATAATTATTCCAGACTGACAAAGACAAGTTTAAGTACCCTAATTATCAATAATATTAAGGAGGCTTCCGTTGATGAAGAACTAGAAATAACGGATGGACGTGAGGCATTGAATGGTGTATTTGGCACGGTAAAAATTAGATCCAAAAAGAAAAATGATGTAAATACATTTTTGAAGCTGTGTCGAAGCACTATTATTAGCAAGATACAAGATACGTTAACAAAGAAAAAAGGGTTGAAAGTGGATTTGGTTTTAATAGTTGAAATGATAAAACCAAGCACTACATCACCTGATGAACTCATAATAACGGAACCCTTTTTTAGAACCTTGCAGATGACCATTCTCGAGGCAACAGACCTGGAGCAGGAAATTGACGACGCGGTCGAAAAGATCAAAGAAAGAATATCTAAATATCAACGCGAGGGCAGTGGGTGGGTGTTTAGCCAAATCAAACGGTTAGATATTCATTTCAGTAAGTTCAAACCGCTAGCTGGAAGTTCATTCATAGGACTTCCAAAATATCTATTGCTAAAGAAGGCAATAATCAACGTAAAAAATACGGATCAGCTATGTTTTAAGTGGACTCTTCTTTCAGCACTTCATCACAATGAGGTAGATCAGAAACAAACCGACCGGGTGAAACAATACGAGAAATGGGCTGACAAACTCGACTTTAATGGCATTGAATTCCCAGTGTCACTCAAAGCAATCGATAAGATTGAAAAGCTTAACCCAAGCATCAATGTGAATGTGTTCGGATATGAGAATACCCAGGATACAGTTACCAAGAAACGCAAGCTGGAAGTCTATCCCCTGAGAATATCGGAGAACAAGGGTGCAGATATGGTAGATCTCATGTTACTGACAAATGATGAAGATGATGAAAGACATGAACATTATTGTTGGGTGAAGAGCCTATCACGACTTTTAGGATCACAAGTATCGTCAGACAGTCATGAGCTTTTTAAAATTATTTGGAACAGGTCAACGGGAAAGGTGAAAGGCTGATGAACTTTTATCAGAGAAATAAGTTTGGAAGGTACTGGACTGAAGGTGACATTGGTATCCAGAACAGGAGTAGGAAGATCAGACATACATTGTGTCAGGACTTTATGTATGACAGTGACATGAAGAATGCCCACCCTACACTGTTATCCTTGTACTGCTCGATGCTTACATAGCGAACCGGGAAGAGTACATGGCAGATTGGATGGTGCGCACGGGAAAGGCACGAGATGAAGTCAAGGCGCATTTACTGGCAATCATCAATGGAAGAAAGGTCGAGCTAGTGCCTGAAGACCCGGAATGGTACAATGAATTTAATAGCGGGATGAGACATATCAGTGACTTGATCGTCAAGCTGACACCTGACCTCTATGATCTGGCGAAGAAGTCAAAGGATCGTAAGGGCACTGACTACAACATCGAAGGGACAACGGTCAACTATGTGATGTGCAGTCTGGAAAACAAAGCCCTTATGACCGCGTTTGATTATCTGACAGAGCAAGGTATTGAAGTTGGATCACTTGTGTTTGACGGCCTCATGATTTATAAGGACAATGTGTCATCAGAACGACTCTCACAGATACTCGCTGGGTGCTCACAGAAAGTTAAGGAGGTCATGGGATGTGATATTACCTTCACCAACAAAGTCATGGATGAAGGCTATGATATACCACAGGACAAATTGTCCAAATCAGTGAGAGGGAATTTTCATGAACACTATGAACTACTCTTGCGAAAAGGGGTGTATCCTTATGAATATATGGATAGTCCAGAGAAATTAATGGAGACTGAACTACCTCCCAAAGAGGAATTTTATAGTAGACTTACCGGCGAGGATATTGAAGATGATGACTATGAATATGCTCAGAAAATATGGAAAACGTTTGAGTGTAAGACCATGGGAGACTTTCACGATCTGTACCTACTGACCGATGTGATGTTATTGACAGACGTTATGGAAAATTTCAGGAATGTATGCATGAAAAATTACCAACTGGACCCTATGTGGTATTTCACATCACCAGGATTGACCTATGATGCAGCACTTAAAATGACAGGGGTTAAATTGGAATTGCTGTCTGCCCTGACATGCTGCTCATGTTTGAGAGAGCTACCAGAGGAGGGGTGGCTATGATAACCCACCGACATAGCAAGGCCAACAATCCCTACATGAGTGATTATGACAAAACGCAAGCAACTAAATACTTGACCTATCTGGATGCTAACAATCTTTATGGGTATGCCATGTCACAACCTTTGCCCACAGGGAAATTTAAGTGGATTGAACCAGAAGAAATCTTAAAGATTCTGGACCGTACGGATGATCATGAGAACGGTTACATGATTGAATGTGACACGACGAGCATAATGATTATCCATTGACGCCTGAGAGTATGGTAATCAACAAGGTACCTAAATTAATCCCATCTCTGAATAATCGTACCAAATATGTGCTCCATTATAGGAATCTCAAACAATATCTGTCATTGGGAATGAAATTGACCAAGGTCCATCGCATTATTGGGTTTAAACAATCTCCATGGCTTGATCAACATATAGATCTCAACACCAACCTTCGCGCCAAGGCCAATAATGATTCTGAGAAGGATT